GCTCCACGCGGAGAGAGAGAGAGAGAGAGAGAGAGACACGACAAGTGAAGTGCGTCATGGAGGTCCAATACCCGTATCACTACAATACGATTACGACGCGGATGGATAAGACCACTCCATGGATAAGTTACTCCGGCAACATCAAAACGGAAGTCAAAGTAAGTGCGCGCGCGTGCTCGAAAACGATCTCTCTTCTCTTTCTTTCTCACTGGGGGGGAAGGGGGGAGAAGGGAACTCACGCGCTTTTCGGTGCCAGTGATGCGGCAATTAACGCATTTTCGCTCTCATATTCCCTGACGCAAGTCGAATGGATATTGCTGTGCGTAGCGTACCGTGTCCGACCAATCGCATAACTGCACTGGCCAGCAGACATTGCTATTTGAAAGTCATCCTACACCACGAAATTACTATGTCGATAGATATTAAATATACGAGTGTAACAGACACATGTACGTACGTGAAATGTAGAATCCTTAAGTTTTTAACGTAGAAGTCTGTTAGCTTCAACAACAGCGCATCCGGCTTGCATTGCCCATAAAATCGACACTTGTTCAGATGTTTTTAATCATCGTACCGTTTCTCTTTTTATATGTATGTTCGTACAAATAACAGATGAAGCAACTGCTTTCATACTTTCTACAGATCCTTTTACTCTCCACTCGCATATACACGTATATATTTTATTTAATTCTTTTTTTTATTTTTTTTTTGTAATGTGATTGACCAAAAACACGTTGACTTCAATATCAGTTTCTTTTCAATGGTGTACCGAGATGTTTTCTTTTTTTTTAGTCAACAATACATATTGAGCAACATTGTACAAAGTGAAATTAGCGAGTAAGTTGTAGATCCTCTGCGAACGTAGAGTTACGTTCGCCTACGGGTGTTTGCATAATCACGAGTAAGCATTCATAATAAGCGCGCACTTAAGACGCCGTAATGATTTAGTGCCCGTTAATGACTTTCTGTTTCGCATTAATTACCACGATGCTTGAATTTCTACTTATAATGGGCTAGGAACGATTTCTAAGGCGTGTCGCAATTCTTACATCTGCGTCTTCACATAAAAAAAAAAAAAAAACCGGAAAGAAAAAATACATCGGCGTCATTTTCTTTGCTCAAACCAATCATCTCTCTCGTTTTCTTGCATCGAGAACACCTATAATATAATAATAATAATTTTAACTTTACAAAAATGAATAAAATCGCGCGATATAACTTTAATTAAATATAAGCTACTTTTACACTTGTAAAACCTAAGAAATGCAGAGTATGCCTATTCCAAATGCGACGATTGCGACAAAAGCAAAAACTTGATGTTACAGCAAGGTGTCCCAAGCGGGTCAACGGAGCTTCGGACTTGCGCCGCCTGCGGTGTACAAATAATGGAAAGATGGCTGTTGCATGCGGTTGACCAGTACTGGCACATTGGCTGTCTCAAATGCGCGTATTGCAACGTGGTATTGGGAGAAATCGGCCAGACTTGCTACCTCAAAAGCGGCATGATCCTCTGCAAAACCGACTATAGACGGTAAGTCGCTCTGTTCATCTTTTGAACGTGCCGAATCTATTGCTGGCTGAGGAGGTTTCCGATTTAAGGACTTAAATTTTAGGTATACTTAAGACCTAATTTCCTGAAAATGGAAAACACACCAGAATATTATTAATTTTTCTGTATCTACTTACAAAGAAACAAAGAGAATTTAAAAATTTAAAAATTTTCATAATTAATAGAGTCTAGAGGCGCATAGCATATCCGCTTTTATTTCGCTTTTATTTGGCTGACGTAAATAAATCAAATTTTTTTACTCTTTTATGAATGTAATTAAGGTTCGGAGCAAAATTAATCTGATTAAAACATATTTTACAAAATAGTATCATTTTAAAATTCAGTATACATTTGTTCTATCTTTTCTTTAATTTTTAACGGAAATTTAACTTTAAAAGAAATTTAATTACAAGTGATAGGGACCACGGTGACATATTTTTTGAAGCGTACAAAATTTTATTGCGATCGATCTAGTGGTTCCTAAGATTTTAGTGACGTGATTCGTCTAAAAAAAGAAAGAAAGAAACGGAAAAGAAGAAAAGCATTTTCCAAGAAATGCGAAGAACGTTCTCAGTTCGAATAGCATTGCGTAAACGTCGAAACGCAGTCTTCTTCGCGTATCGCTGCTTATCGCCTCGAAGAGTTGATAGCAATGGCTACTCATGAATAAGCTAGAAATTATCGCTTTCATTAAATTAGGTACTACGTCGCGAACACGAGACATCGGATATTCCGGCGCAGCCGCGACTCCGCGCGGTCGACAGGGAGAATCGGCGCCGTCTAATTTCTTGAAACTAATAACAACGCCCGACGCTTCGTTATTAATAATAAATACTGTTATTGTGCGCGGCTATTACGGCTAATTTATCGTGGTACTTGCCGCGCGTTCGTTTATACCATGCCGGGATTCCTGGGAGCCAATATCGTGTAATCAACATTCCTCTCTCGTGCAAAATAGCCGCGGAACTAGGAAGTTGCCGTTTTACGTCATGTCTCGTAATCACATTTGCCTTTTTTCCTTTTTTTTTTTTTTTTTTTTTTTTTTTTTTTTTTTTTTTTTTTTTTTTTTTCAATAGCCACGGCGATTACTCGCCGTGTTGTTAAAATATATCGAGCAGCGTATAGACAGCGTCGTGATGTCTAGGTATATCTAGAAATCTATCAGAGCCTAGGGCTTCGATGATTTACACAGAAAAATTTTTTAAATTTGAGAGAAAAATCAAAAACGTAAAAGACGTATAAAAAAATCTGTAATGAAAACATATCGTAAATACGAAGAAAGAAATACGATGGATAAGACGAATAGTGATAATATAGGTTTTAGGAAGGAAATGCTGATTGCGACATTTGCCTCGTGTGCGCCTATTCAGACGACACGAGACATGCCTCTGAGAGATGTCTGAAAAAGTAAGATGTATATTTTAGGCATCTTTACGACGTGCTCTCGCGTCGTCCAGGCCATTGTCCATTACGACATAGCCGCATTGTCCTCGGCGCGGCACGCATATCCCCCGTTGATTGTTTATCGATGAATGGCCGGAGACTTTGGGATTGCCGCGCGCCGTGATGAATATGCACCTAATCGACGTGGTCGTTCCAAATTTAGATGATTCGAGGTCAGAGCGCAATTTAATGAGAAACAGACGCTGAACTTAGTTAGTCCCCCCGAAATAGATCGGCACAACCTGGCCCGGCCGCGCACGTACCGGAGGTAATGGAACTGTCAGTCCTTTTTTTACTCAACCAACCGGTTATATCCGCACGAGGAGTGACATTTCTTGCATTTCACGCTGCAGTTTAGGCGCGCTCGGCCGCTCGTGTTTCTACGTTTCATCATAATATCGCGACTAAAATATTATTATGCAACAAGGGCGAGGGGGAAGTGCCGATAGGGGCAGATATTTTTGTTAGCGGACGCTTTGTTAGTCGATCGCGTACGTTGGCGTTGGTATCTCAATTTCGTCGGTCCTTTCCTTATCGCGCGATTGCTATTACTCAACCATGACGCACGTACGTCCTAATCTGTTGGCATAGTCGAGCGATTTAGTCCGGCCTAATATCAATATTTGACTACGAGACGGCTCCCATCCTCGGGATGGGTCTAACATCCGTCCGTTCCAGTGCCCATCGGCTTGCTTTCGTCGAAAAATGAGACGATGATGAACGTGTTTGAGAGTTCATTCCTCAAAACTAATTTCAAAGGGAAGATATTATTAGAGGGAGGTATGGGGATACGGTTTAAGATAGTTGGGATATAAATAAAAAAGATCAAACGACATTATAAAGTACGAATACATTTTTTGCCCTTATACTTTTTGATGTAAAAATTGTACGATTAAAAAACTAGTCTTATCGCTACACTTGCGGGATCATTCAAGCCGTCGGACTTCACGTATGATTGTCGCCCCCGTTTGGGGGCAACAATGGCACGTCCAACAATTGGCGTTTCTTACGAAACGCTCGGTGCATCATATCACGCTAAGCGCTTTATATCCCCCGCGCAGCTTTACAATCAAACTACTGTCGGAATTGAAACCAACCGGTTGTCTCGAAACACCATCGGGTGTCTCCTACGCGAGTGCAGCAGCTTTGCTGCTGCAACCGTCTCGTCGAAAAGAGAACGACGGATATATCCGCGCGGGCCGAGTGGATAGACAGATGGATGGAGAGGATAGCGAGCGCGGTGCGACTCGGAAAGATAGCGGGGAGGTTGGAGAGGCGAGAGAGAAGGGATGGCGGTTCGTTTCTTTTGGATTCAAGGATGTTTCAATCAGTTTGATTGAAGGGCTGAGCCACGGCAAGAGGGTAAACTCGATTTACAGCCGTGTAGGAGGGATGGCGCGGTGGACGGAACGGAAGGAGAGAGAGAGAGAGAGAGAGAGAGAGAGAGAGGAGGG